ACTTTTGCTAAAATTTCAAAATCAAAAGTTATCAAAACAAATTCTATGGGACTGAGAAATATTATTTTCTACTTTTTAGTCCATTTATAAAAGCGTTGTATATTAAAAAGTTTTTTTTTATATTATTTATTTTTCTTGTACTGTCGCTGCCTTGTCTATCCATCGTTTGACTATCCATATCACTACAAAAACTGGAATCAACACCAGAACCGTTGGCGATTTGCTCAAAGCATTGCTTAATATCCTGGTGTAGGGATGAAAGGATGCGAGTAAATACAAGTACATACTCGATACTTTTCGTTCGATATCAAGTAATTTTTTTATGATTTATGTCCATAAATGTTACATACGAAAAGTTCTGCGCCGGTTCCTTCCATGTATTTTTACATAGGGCGTTTCCAGAAATGCTTCAGGCCAAATCATTAGTCTGTTTTATTTCTGAACTACAATTGATGGAATGTTGTGACTGATAGTGGAAAGTAAAATACTGAAAAAAACTAATGGTAAATCCAGTGATAATGTTCAGTGACCAAAGGTCGGCAAATCCCGTCTACTTTACCTGCTCACGTAAGTATATGTATGTTTATGCGTTCTTAATTTGATATTATTGTTTTATTTTGACCGCGATAAAGCTCTGATAATTTTCCTGAACTGAGATTTGCATGCAGAATGTGTATTAGGCATATGACTCTTCAACTTTTTTTTTTGAAAAACTAAATCTAGGCGATAAGATCCTTTTGAAAAGTTTGAACCCACTTATATTTTTTTTTATTCTCAGAAATATCGTAAATAGCTTCAAGGCCGACGGTTTGGCTGAAAAGTGTTGTGTACAACTTGAATAGGAAACTGAAATTCCCTAAGCATGCATTTTAGTGAATTAACTTTTTTAAAACCTGATAAAACCGAAGTTTAGCTATATCTCTGAAAGTGTTCTACTTTCATAAAATTTGATTCCATATTCGGATTCAAGAGGAAACTTTACATGAGAGGTGATGATCAGGTGGCTACAATCAGAAAAATAATAATTTGGATAATTTATTTGTTTGTTTTACGGTATAACTCAAAAAGGGTCTTTACTCTATTATATAAGGAATTTAACAACTACCATTCAGAAAATTTTCAGGCAAAAAAACAGTAAACTGGCCAAAAATAGCTACCGTGACAAAGATGGTTAACTTACTTAAGTAATTTTTAAAATGTGCGGAACGAGCAATTATTTTATTATTTTATGCCAGAAAAACGTCGTGTGTTTTGAATTTAATATTTATATGTATTTTAAATTGATAAAATAGTGTTTCCTGCGGGTGGGTTTTTTGACTAATTGACACAAAAATATTATTTTTGTTGTTTTTTTTTCACGATATCTAAGCACAGAGTAATAATAGAAATGTCCGTCTAAAAGTCATATGCTTAATGTGTATATGGATATATGTAGGCATATAAATACATACAAGCTTGAAAGTTTAATCTTTTGATTGCTGAAAATAGAAAAGTATAAATCAAATGAATATTTACACACATATTTACATACATATTGTACACCTGTTAAAAATGTATAAATTCATTGAATACAAATAAATACGTTAATTAAAAATTCTATACCTTACCATTGCGCAACGGCTTGTTTTTAATGAAAATTTAAAGTTATGTAAAAAAACTGCTTTCAACTTTAGAATCGACAATTTTAATTGTAAATCTGTGCCTTAAATTTTAGTAGGATGTTTTTTCGAAAACAATTTGGTTAAATTTTTTCATTTTCGAACAGGAAAAATTTTAGGAAAACGTACTGGCGGCACAAGCCAAGACCTTCTTCACCTGGTGTTTCCATCGAATAAGAGGGTTTTTTCTCTAATTGACTTTTCAGTAGCTTGTGAAGTCGACATACATACATACTTCCTATGGTCCTTCCACAACAAATTTGGGCAGGACAACCGTTGCAGATGCGGCTACTTTGTTGTTAATTCTCTAGTTTTTAAAGAAGTTGCACCTCGGGAATTTAGCTCTGCAGCTATACTTGTATAGAGATCAATCCCTACGTAGAAATTACCGTACTGAGAAAATTCTAAATCGAGTGATAGCCGGGCTGCACTCAAGGACTTCTCATAATTTGATGTCAAGTCCTACATGGTTTTTGAGTGCATTGATGGGCTGAATGTCCTGTCGGAGCACAAAGATGTCTAACTAATTTCAGTACCAGTTGACATAGGAGTTGAGGGTAACGAGGAAATAGACCTTCTAGCCAGAACGGCGGCCGCCTCATTTCCTACAAGGCCAGAGCCTTTCCTTGCGATCGGGGAACAGTCTGGGAGATCAATACTGTCGTAAAATCGTAGGTCAACGCCAACCTAAATGCTTACTGAGAGGCTACAACCTTACAAGGAACAGGATTTCTAATGGGGCACTGTAGACTGATAGGTCACCTGTACACGCCAGGGATCAGATCGCACGAGCTAAGTCATTTGTATGAATCGATCGAGGATACTTCTTTACACCTGTTCCCGATTGCCAGGATATTGCAAGGAGACAGGAGGGGCAGGTACGCCAACGCTGGCCAAGTGTTGAATTCATGCAATCGCTAACTTCTGGAGATCTCTTCGAATTTCTGGCACCTTTGAGGTTGGATGAGGTCCTACAAATTGCTGCAACAAAATAACGATCTGATACAATGCTTGGTCCTCGGATCGTACGTGCGTCGAATACAATAAATAGAAGCTTACCATCCGTCTATCACGAAATTATCGTCTTGGTTTCTCGTATTTCGACCTGGAGACAGCCATGTAGCTTGATGGATCTCTTCAGCCACAGTCCGTTATTAAATATCCAATTAGATCAAAAAGGTTACATTGTGGAGTGTGGACAGATGACTCTTTATAAGAAAGCATTTTCACGCCAATACTATATATCCAGTGGCTTGCCAATGCCTGCTCGGGGTTGGTGGCTATTAGATTTGGTATTGACCAGGCATCCACGTCAACCATACCTATAAAAAATGATTTTGTCTAAGTTTCTTACGCTGACGAACCACAGTGCTATATATATGTGTATGTAGTGAAGTATGATTGCGATTTTTGAAAACGACAATGACGCAGGCAACCATTTTGTCGATCATAATTCACTTAGTCGTGATTCATTAACTTTATGTCCGTTCACTTTCTAATGTACAAAAAAAAATAATCACCTTTGGGCAATCATAGTTATGTACAAGTATTTCATAAATTTTCATTTCAAAAATGTCAAGACAACATCGCACATGTTGTTGCTACTGGCTAAACATATAAATATTGTTAATTAAGTATTTGCTCATTGACTTCAACTAGTGTGAATGGAAAAAGTAAACAAAAGCATTCAAGTACTATTTCCACAGTCTTTAATATACACAAGTACATATTGCTCTATGTATATATGTATATGTATGTACGCTCTTAACCGCTGGATTAATGTGCCATTGAATACATTCTCCATTTTAAATCACTACATACGCATTCGATTGGATTTGGTTATCTAACTCATAGCCGTTGTCGAGATTTTGATTTATATATTTAATAAATACAGTAGAAATTTGTTTTTAATAATAGGCGATTGTATATAGATAAAGGTTTTACCTATTTAATTCATGAACCATTAGTGAATTTGCGCTCGACTAGCTTTGCAGTTGAATGGATTCACTCGCTTGCGTGATCTAGGATTATAAGCGCCGAACTAAGAGAGGACTTGAAAAGGATTCAAACAAAATGACTGCGGAAATTAATAAAGGTGCAGAGTTCTACTTAGTGTGATTTGAATAGTATTTTGAGTAAGATAATCGATGTTGTGATTTTAATTACATAAGTATGTGTGACATCGCGTTCAAGCATGGTGCTGCCCCAAAACTGGCGCATTTGGTGGAAAAAAACAATAATTAATCGCGCTACTTTATAATAATACAGCTGAATAAAAAACGTAGAGCTGAATGTTGATTAAAAAAAAAAAATGCCCTCGAGTTCTTTGGAATCTAAGGCTCGTGAAAGCAAGGCGGCATTTTGAAAATAACAATAATTTTTATCCCTTGTAGGGGAAGTAGCCCCTGGCATACAGTCAGTCAATAAAGTTTAGGTACAGCGAATTTTTTGCAATGCGGGCAACTATTTTTTAAATATTATGTTTTTCGCAAATTTTTTATAAAAATATGGTTAATTCTACAACAAAAACCCCAAAAGCCAAAGTTCCAAACCTTGTGCAAAATTAAAGAAAATCCTGTAAAATTTCATTCAAATATTGCACTTTTAATTACGCTCTCTAGAAAAAAGCTGAGTAAGCAGTTTTTTAGCCAACTCAATTTTAGTGTAATAAAGTGCAGGTTTGTGGAAGCTATTGATTTTTGGGAAATTGTTTTGTTGAAGGTGTCGGACATTTTTTCCNGAGGTTTGTGGAAGCTAGGACTTACTATTGATTTTTGGGAAATTGTTTTGTTGAAGGTGTCGGACATTTTTTCCTTATAACAAAATTATCAAACAATATTTTATATGGAGAAAATGAGCGACACCTTCAACACAAAAAGAAAAATGCTAAAAATCAATGGTAAGTCCTAGCTACCTCAAACTTGCACTTTGTGGCAGGCCGCTATCTATCTTTTTTTCCTTTCTTTCCCCCTTATGTCTTTTCTTTTTAGCCGTTTCTCGCAGAGAGCTACGAAAGTCCAGCACAGTTTTTAAATTCAGGGTGAAGGAATACAAGACTTTGATTATTTCTCATCTTAGGATCCATAAAAACCGCGTGGTCACTGAAATTGCAGCCTAAAAGAGCCCAACGAAGCAAAAAACCAGAAGTAAGGGCTTAAATGTATATTTTTTCCCGAAGTTTCGAAGTTTGGTTTAAAATTGTTATAAATTTGCTCTCAGACGGCCTAGAGACTTCTATTTTGAATTGCACTAAAACGCACGAATTATTCGAGGGATATAAAATTATGTGAAGGATGCACAGCTGCATTTTTTTAAATTAAGATGTTAAATATTTTTTTTCCAATTTTGAACAGTGGCGGGGGAATTCTGCGTTGGTAATAAAAATTTTGTTCCCGGTAAATAAAGTTCCTAGTAATTTTTAAACCCGTTTCGCATTCTGCGCTCTGGTAAATTTTGTTACAATCTCATAAGATGGTAACAAAATATTGCTCCGTGAAGTATGCAACACCAGAATTTATACAAAATTTCATAGCTGAATTGCTGAATAGATAAAATTCTTACCAAGGTACTTAGAATTGCGGTTACAAGAGGTGCTATTTTTTGGTAACAAAATTTTCCGCTGTCAAAATGTTCTGTACCAAGCAGAATAGGTCTGCTAATATGCTATCATATAATATCTAACGTATCATGTCAAGGGATGCCATGTCACGTGATATCATGTCATTTGTTGAAATTAAGTGTGGTGAGTTAATATGTGGTGAGTTAAAATGTGGTTAATTTAAGCGTGGTAAATACAGGTGTGGTGAGTTTATGTGAAGTGTGGTGAATTCCGATGTTGTGAATTAACGTGTGGTTAATTTGGAGTGGCGGTGAGTTCTCTCTCTAGCTGCATATGTATATCCTTTTCTTTATAATTACTTAGTCTTAATCTTTTTTCCTTTACATTTATCTTTACTTTCATTGTTATCCCCATTTTCAGATTTTTCCTCATATTTATAGATCTTTGTTTTTAACTTCTTGTTTATTATTTTCTTTATTTACATTGTTTATTATTTTCTTTTATTACATTTCACCTTTGTCCTTGTATACAAAAGATAAGTGTTTAAATTTACGTTGGTCTTCATTTTTGCCTTTATCTTTACGCTTCTTTGTTTATGTTTCTATAGTTACCTTTGACTTTATTCTTATCTTCGTCTATGTAATCTTTAACTTAATCCAGTTCTTAAATCACTTATTAGCACGTTTTTAAGCACCTGTTTGCGTCCTAACCATACAACTAAAGATATATGTATGTACGAGTACATTAGACTGCTTACAAAATAGACTAGTTGTTTTCTAAAACCCCTAGTGAAATATTTTCCGGGCATTGAAAAATATGCCTGTCGAAATTTAGATTTAGAGGACGCTCATCGCGAGTTTCTATTTTCCATATAAACGATATTTTTTTCAAAGAAATGATGTATTGTGGAATGATTTTCCGTTTCGGCGTTGTGACATTTTCAGTCTAAGTTTTTCAAAAATTTTACAAGGGATGACGTAACCTGTCATTCGTATTGTTCCCCAATACATTATACTTGGAGCCTATCGGAAACACCAATTACGAAAATAAGAAAATTATGATATTAACGAATAAGTTTAAACATTTTGGAGAAAATTAAAAACAAAAGTGTAAAATTTTATACTTGTTCGACTTCAATCTTGAATAATTTCCTTCAATGTAAATCTTAATATGTTAATAGGGCTACGATTTTGGCAGGCGTCTTTTTCCATTGTCCCGAAAATTTCTCACAAGGCATTTTGAAAAAAAATTAGACTTTTTTGAACCAGTCTTATGTACATAACCAAGTCTTCAGTGAACCATACCTTTTGTGTTGGTCATTTTATAAATTAAGAGCAATTTTGAAATACACCAATTAAAAATTGCGTATTGGCACCACACCCTAGTTGCATTTTGTTAAAAATATTAAAATAGATTTACTTTTAAGCATAATAGACTGAAATTTAGTAATTGAAGGGATTGCATGAAAACCCTCTCCCAAATTAGTCTACACCTGAAACACACACCGAAGAAACAGCGGATCTCTTTTGTTGATGAAAATGCAGTTTATTTTGTTTTTCCTATGGGGCAGCACACACACCAAAAAAAAACATGCGTTGTGACTGACGCAAAATAAGAGTTAACCATACAATGCCCGTAGTGTAAATCACAACAAATCGTGGCATTGTGTTTTAACAGTCATAAAGATTAGCTGCAAGAAGCAGGCGCTCTATATATCACTGTTCAACTCAAATGGTAAGCTTTTGCAGCTGGTCGCAACTAAATTACTTTTTTACTTTCTACAATATTTACTGCAAACTATGTAACAAATTTAGTCATTATCAGCGTATATGTATGTATATATGATTGTTTTAAATTTTATTTAACACCATAATTCTTTTGAATTTCCAGGTCCCTTGCTCGGCCAACGTCATCTGCAAGTATTTCTTTTATTCACTTCGATTGTTGTAAATGTTGTGATGAAATATAATGCCAGCGTTGCTGTTGTTGCCATGACCGACGCAGAAACGACAAATCCTAACTTTCCCGTAAGTACCCACCACACTCCTTCTACATACTCTTAAGGCCAAATCACACGACACATTTGTACATTTTCGCAGTCACAGAATGGTGTTGTCAAATTTTTTTTTTCCCCGAGGAAGAGTTTAGCATAATAAAAGAATTTCCAAATAACACCACCCTGTAACTATTAAAATGTACAAATGTACCTAACGTGTAATTTGGCCTTTAAGCCCTTTTTGTTATAAAAAATAAAAAAAAACGCTTTCTTCTTGTTAGGAATATGACTGGAGTGATATGCACAAATCATATATTCTCTCAAGCTTCTTTTGGGGCTACTTCATTACACAATTTCCAGGCGGTTATTTGTGTCGACGATTTGGCGCCAAACGTACGATTCTCATATCCACGCTGGGCTCTTCGGTACTGGGACTTTTGCCACCCTTCTGCGTCAGCTGGGGCGGTTGGGGTATATACTGTGGCATACGCGTAGCTCAAGGCTTCTTCCAGGGTTTTATGTTTCCCTGTGTGCATGCGCATCTGGCCGCCTGGTGTCCGGTGAGTGAACGCAATCGATTGGGCGCCTTAGCCAATACGGGCATCGAATGTGGTACGCTGCTCTCGATGTTTTTGAGTGGCATACTTTCTGCCTCCAGCATTGGTTGGCCCAGCCTGTTTTATGTTTCTGCTGGCATGGGTTTTGTATGGTGTGCGGCTTGGATATTTTTAGCCGCCAATGAGCCGCATGAATCGAAATTCATTACGACAGCTGAACTCAATTATATTGACGCAGCAAAGAATGCTAGCAAAAAAATTGAAGCGGGTGAAGTAGAGCACAAGGTACCGGTACCGTGGCGCGCAATTCTCACATCTCTTCCGCTTTGGGCTTTGGTTGTGGCACGTACAGCCCATTCGTGGGGTTTCTCGACGCTGCAGGCCGAGATACCAGCTTACATGAAAGGTGTGCTCAACATGGATATGAAGAGCAATGCTTTTTACTCAGCGCTGCCGTATCTGGCGACATGGTGTATGGCCTATGTTTATTTGATTGTATCGGATGTTCTGTTGAATCGCAATATACTCTCACTCACTGCCATACGTAAGACTTTCAACACACTAGCTCTCTGGGTACCCGCTGTAATGCTTATAGCAGTTGGATATCTGGATGAGGAGCAAAAGACTTTGGCCATCGCCTTGATGACTGCAAATGTGGGCGTGAATTCTGGCTCCACCATAGGAAGTGCACTGAACACAATTGATCTGTCGCCGAACTATGCTGGCATACTCATGGGCATCGTGAACACATCGGCGAATGTGGTACCCATTCTTACGCCGCTGCTCGTCGGCGTTGTGGTGACTGATGAGGTATGCATAAGATTGAATTTTGAACTTCCAAAATTTATGATTTTTTTTATTTTTCCTCCCCCTAAATTTTCAGCACAATCGCTCGCAATGGCAAATTGTGTTTATTATTTCGGCCGCAGTCTTCGCGCTTGGTAACTTGTTTTATTTAGTTTTTGGTAAAATGGAATTACAACCATGGGATGACGTAAATTTTCTGCCATCTAAAAACTCGAACATAATTGATGCAGCAGAAAAGTATGATAAATCTGTAATGAGTGAAAAGCCGAAGAGTTTGGAGTTGAAAGAGTAACAAATTAAGATGCCTTGAATGAACTGCCCGTAATTTTAGTACATAGAAGTTTAAGTTTGTAAATATGTATAAATGCCGTTGTATGGCGTTAGACATATTAAGTAATAAATATAAATTTTTAGATATCAAAATCCAACCCCCGGAGTTATAATTCGGCTCCCAATATAGTGTTCGAAAGCATTTTGGTTGATGATTTACTTTAAAAATTACCAAAATTGCAACAGACATTTTGCAAGAAAAAGGTAAGCTATACATATATCCATGATACCTCAGACTCGACCGTTTTATCGATTTTTGGCACGCTCATAATTTTGAAGAGATTTTTATTATTTTTTTTTTTTTTAATTCTTAAGTACATTCTGTCAACTGTAGTATGAAACTAGGCTGTGTACAAAATTTTAGCCAGATCGAGGTACATCACCCTGTTTTAATTATCTTTAAGTTGAATGAGTGATAAAACTATAAATCCAAAATTCCCTTAGTAAAATCCAGGCCTGCTAATGTAATCCATGCTGAATACCTCTATTTGTCCGTTCCCCGATGTTCTGAGGTTTAGGATCGAATATGATTTAATAGCAAGAGAGCTCTCCCGGGAGCGCGTTTATGTGAATAAACTACCAGCTATGGAGCATATGAAATTTGTATAATGAAAACTATAATTTTTCATTTGGCCGATATAGTAATAATAGATTGGCGCTTACACATATGTTTCGGTGTTTGGCCGCGATCCTCCTCCGATTTGTGGCGTGCCCCTTGATGTTGTCACACAATTGTATTTTTATGAGAAACGGTTTTTTCGTGGCAGAAATACATTCGGAGGTTTGCCATTGCCTGCCGAGGGACTACCGCTATTAAAAAAAACCCTTTTTATATATTTTTTTGCGATGTTACTTTGACCAGGGCTTGAACCCAGGCTAGCGGAGTGGTAGCGCGCACTACCAACCACTACAACACAGCGGCCGCTATCGCGCAACACTTATTTATGTACGCTAGGGTGGTCATTAAAAATATCAACATCTAAATTTTGTATGGGTCCGCCCATTTATTTTGCTGTACGCACGAGTGATAAAAAAAATTTTAAAATTTTACACACAGTTTTAGGTGTCGCCGCTACCTGGTTTTGACAAGAATTAATTTTTTTTTTTAAATAGCAAAAACTCGGCAAAATAGCGTCTTGCGCATTTCATATTAAATCTCCATCTGCTTCTATCCTAGGTATGTAGATTTCGCGCTTCAACGCATGTTGCTAAAGTAATGAAAAAAATGTTTGATCTCCCTTATCGCTAACTACTTTTTGTAATACTATTGCCTGTAAGTAGGGATGACAAAAAAAAATAAAATAATCGATTAATTAATCATAGGACTAAACACAAGCCAAAAAAAATTAATTGAAATTATTGAGACATTGTTTACAGTGACTATTCACAATAACATTTCTCCATAAAGAAATTCGAATTCTCTTGTTAATTAGCCTTAAATAAAATAAAACGAGTATTTTTAGCGCCTATATTTATTTATTGTTTAACTAGTCTTGCAAAAACAAAAGTTCGAAAAATTAAAATTAAAATCAATTAAAAAAGAAGATAAGGGCCATTGTATGAAATGCATAAAAATTAATCAAAGAAGAATAGTCAAAACTGATCAAAACGTTACGTTGCAATAATTTTGCACATTGATATATTGGCGAGCATATCCTAAGAGCTATATTTCAGTTTCTAAACAATTTTTCTTCGTAGTGCACCCAGCAGACGCGGCTTTTTTGATAAAAATAATCGCTTTTTGGTTAAAAATAATCTTAAGATTCAGATACCTCGTGCCCAAAAAACCCCTAGGAAGGTCTTTTGGTGGTATAAATATTTACATTTTAATTACTTTTAATTATATGATATATATCAGTGCACATTACATTTATCTTAAAATGCTCTTGAAGAAAGCAATTTTAATTTTGTGGTAATATTATCTTTCATACTTTTCGGCACTATTTTTGCAGTCCATTAGGCGCATTTTGAAATTCCATCCCTGGTGCCAACAAAATGTGATTAGTTCTTCGATAGTCCGTAAAGTTTTGGGTGAACAATTTTTATTTCCTCAAGCTTGACCAACTTGCCTATACACGGCTTATTTAATTATTATTAATAATCGATTAATGAAACACAAAACTCCGTTACAATTAAATAGTAAATTGGACAAAAATAATCGATTAATTCGCTGCCATCCCTACTTGTAAGCTTATCAGACCCTTTACACTCCATAATTCTCTTTTTTCCATCAAGTAGGCAGTAAAAATTGATTGATTATCAAAAATGTTTTACGCCACTTTCGAACGGCAAATGGATTTTATGAGAAGCTTTTTTATTGTAGAAATACACTCGGCGGCTGGCTATTGCCTACCGAGGGGCGATCACTTTTTGAAAAATATAAACAGTAGACTTGATATTAGAAAACTTACACCGAAATGCTTTATATCCTCAGCAAGTACTTTTTTCTTTTTCACCAACACTTCCTTTCTAAGGCTAACCGTAGCCTAAGGCATAATTTTCGTTCAACTATCAAAATACTGGAATATTTGAGAGCGCGGAAATTAAAAGCCAATCAAATTTTTCGAAGGGCGGGTAAGAAATTTGGTAAGAATATTAGGTAAGTTATTGGTGAATGAAAAATTAAAATTTTATTTTATGATTGACTAATAATACAGAATTTTAGAAGCATTTATGTAGGTAGCGCTTTTACATACTACCATTGTTCAGGCAGTTCCTACTAGATATAAATTCACTATTCACTAAATACGTCAAAACACCCAACGGACCCAATGCGCCCAAATCATAGCGCAACCAGTAGGACGCGAAACTTGACAAGGCAAAAATTCTCACGTACGAATCGAAAAACGACAGCGAAATGATTCATATGCAATGTTGCCAGAAGAAAATTTCGTTTAGAGCAAAAACGGAAAAAAAAGAAAAAAATATATATATTTTATTGCCAGCCGAAGTGTGCGCGCTTAACTGACTAACCAGAATGTTGAGGCTGTGGTATGTAGCAAGAGCTGTCAAAATTTAAAATACACTAATAAATACTTTAAACTGCCCATTACTGCACTGTAGCTGTGGTTGTGGTGTATTATTGCTGATGTAGCTAGCGAAATAGTTGTGGCTGTGGTACTACATTCTGGTTGGCCAGTTATTGATATTCTTAAGCCCAACTTGTTACTCACTTGTTACTGTAGCGCTTTTTCATGCACAACAGCGATTGCGGAGCGATCGTTTAGTACACTTCGTAGAGTAAAAATCTGGCTCAGAAGCACAACAGGAGAAGAAAGGATTTCTGGATTATGCCTCATGAGCGTCCATAGAAAACTCGTTACCGAAAACCGCGAGATGATTCAGGAGGAAATGATCGAAAACTTTTCTGAAAAACCGATTAAATAAATATAAAAATATTTTTAACAAGTATATTTCGTTTTGACCCTCCTTTACGTCAGATCCTGGCTACGCGCTGGCCAGTTTTACGAAAGCAATGCAAGTGAAACATGATAAGTCGATAAGTCAACTCGGTCAAAAGTTATTCAAGGTCAAATTCGAATTCACCATTAAACAAAACCAATTAAGTTTCAAGTTTCCAAACTTTTTGTTATAATTTTTAATAGCTATCGGAAATTTTTGTAAAGAACTTTTTATTGTTGCTAATCTTATCTTCACATGCATCAACAAAGATTGCAATCACTAATCGTATTAAACCATCTTTGTTCTTCAAATGTTAGCGTGCGTACTATAAACTAATAAAAAAAAGTTGATTTTTAATTAATACCGATTCTACAGAAACCAGATGTTGCCAAACGTAAGTAAACAGCTGTTAAACGTGAGTAAGAGCTTAACTGAAAATATATGTCAACGTATCATTTAATAGCTATTTAGTAGTCACAATTGACAACTCAGAGAATAAGTAAATACCTGAGTAGTTACATATTTTAACTGTATATCTATAGAGCAGATAAACTCTTAAATTCTAAAAGAATTTTTTATTAACATAGATGATTTTATTGTGAGTAAATTGAAGTTGGATTATTCTTGAATGAGTTGAGTTGAATGACTGCGGCAACGCAGCACAGTCACTGAACGGTGAAGTTGGGGATGTGAGAAAAGCTTTACAAAAGAATTTAGTAGTGTTAGATATTTGCTCTCAAGCGACTACCTAAGGTAGAAACTTGTTTATTGAATGATTTTTCATTTGACTTTCATAGCATTTTCTATTTATCAAATAATAGCCAAAACCATGCGTGCGTTGCCACTAGGGGTGTTAATCCCGAGATCACGGCCTATTTTTTCAAATCTTTCATTTTTTTTTAATTCAACATTTGTTCAATTCGGTCTTTTGATTGTAGAATTTGCATACTTGAAAATTTTGAAAATCGACAAAATAGCAGCGGTTTTTGGAAAAATAAAAAAATGGGAGAAATTTTCTCAAAAACATCATTTCTAATTTTCTTGAAAATTTGTTTATGGTTACTAGATAAACCCACTAAAACGCCTCAAAAGCCGTAAATTTTTTTTTCTGAAAATAAGAAGACTCAGTATTTTGGGTAATGTAGCGCCATACATAATGCATATGGGGCGTTCCACACCAAAATGGACGGGGTTCACATTTCATGTTTTTGATTTGTTTCAGCTTTTTAGGGTTGATGGATAAATATAAATAATAAATAAATATGAAATTGGAGCTTGATTCAAAAACTTTACAGCACAAAACGCAAAAACAAATCGATTTAATAGTTTTCCAAATATCTCGAGAACGGGGCGAGGAAAAAATTCGAAAAAAATCACACATACACACATCAAAATTCTCTAGGAAAATAAATATTTTTTTAATTAATTTTTCTTGAAAAATTTTACGCATACAAATTTTTTGATAAAAAAATTAGTTTTTGAAAATATGCCAGCTCAAAAAAAATTAAAAAAATCACATTGGTAGCTCTGAGTATTGCGCAATATTTAAGTATAGTATTA